TATTCAGTATTCTATCATTTTCATTGTAGAGTTCTACTACCTCCTTGGTTAGATTAATGCCCAAGTATTTAATTTATTGAGGTTAATGTAAATGGGATGGTTTTCCTTATTTCTGCCTCAGCTGAACCACTGTTGCAGTGTAGGAAAGCTATTAATTTAGGGGTGTTTGATCTTGTATCCTGCTACATTGCTAAATTTATAAGCACTAGAAGTCTTTGGTGGAATATTTTGGGTCTTGTAGACATAAGATCATATTGTTGGTGAGCAAAAATAGTTCGACTTCTTATTTTCCTATCTGTACCCCCTTTGATTTCCGTTTCTTGCCTGATCTCTCTGGCTAATCTTTCAAGGACTATATTGAATAGGAGTAAGAATGAATAGCCTCAACTTGTTCCTAAATATAGATAAAATGCTTTTACTTTTTCTCCATTTAATATGATGTTAGCTTTGTCATAAGTGACCTTTATGATGTTGAAGTTTAATAATGTTTTTCATTTCTGATCTTGTTGATTTCCTTTCTGATCCCTAGTTTCTCCAGTGTTTTGTTTTATTTTGAATTTTATTTTATTTTACCTTTTATAGATTTAAAGACATATACAATAGTGTCTCTTTTTTAATTTGTTCCTTTTAAATATGCATAACAGTAGAGTGTATTTTGACATATATACCTGGGAGTATAGGATTAAGATTCCATTCTTATGGTTGTACATAATGTTCTTCAGTGTTTTTAACATGAATGGGCACTGGATTTTATCAAATGCTTTTTCTGCATCTATTAAGATGATCATGTGATTTTTGTCCTTAATTCTGTTTAAGTGATAAATTATATCTATTGATTTGTGTATCTCAAATCATCATTGCATGACTAGAATGAAACCCACTTCTTTATAGTGTATTATCTTTTTGATGTGTTTTTTAATGCACTTTGCTAACATTTTATTAAGGATTTTTGCATCTATGTTCACCAGGGATATTGGTCTATAGTTTTCTTTCCTTCATTAATCTTTGTCTGGTTTTGTTATGGGGATTATACTAGCTTCTTAAAAAGTTCTTGGGAGTGTTCCCTCCCTTTCAATTTCATGGAATAATTTGAGAAAGTCTGGTGTTAGTTCCTCTGTAAAGGTCTAATAGAACTCAGAATCCATCAGGTCTTGGGCTTTTCTTTACTGAAAGGCTTTTAATTACTGTTTTAACTTTATAACCTGATATTGGTCTGTTCAGACTTGTCTAAAATGTGTCCAAAAATTTGTCAATGTATGCCAGCTTTTCCAGATAATTGAAGTATAAATTTTCCAAATAGATTCTGATAATCATCTGGATTTCAGAAGGGTCTCTTTCGATATCTCCTTTTTCATCTCTGATCCTGTTGATTTGCTTCTTTTCACTCTTTCTTTTGGTTAGTTTTGCTAAGTGTTTGTAAATTTTGTTTATCTTTTCAAAGAAGCAACTCTTTGTATATTTATTTTGTGTATTATTTTCTTCTTATCAATTTACTTGATTGTGGCTATGATCTTAACCATTTCTTCTCTTCTACTGGTTTGGGAGTTAATTCATTCTTTTTCTAAGGTCTAGAGGCAGAGCACAAGCTTACTTATTTGGGATCTCTCTAATTGTTTCATACAGGTGTTCAGTGCTATAAATAGTCCTATTAGAACTGCTTTCATACTGTCCCAGAGATATTGGTATGTTGTCTTTGTTCTCATTTGTTTCTAAGAATTTCTTGATTTCTATTGTCATTTCTTCTTTCATCCATTCTTCATTTAAGAGAGTATTGTTGAATCCCCATGTGTTTATGTGGTTTCTATTATTTTTCTTGCTGTTGATTTCTAGCTTCATTCCATTATGATCTGATAGGATAGGTGGGATGATATCAACTTTTTGGTGTTCGTTAAGATTTTCTTTGCAGCCTAGAATATTATCTACTTTGGAAAAGGTTTCAGGGACAGCTGAAAAGAAGGTAAATTCAGCAGTTTGGGGTGAAATATTCTGTAGATGTCCATTAGGTCCATTTGCTTTAATAGTGTTACTTAGGTTGGAGAGCTTTGACTTTATGTGTTGATGACCTGTTTCTTGGTGATAAGGGTGTATTGAAATCCCCCAGTATTATTGTGTTGGAGTCTATGTGGGATTTAATGTCATGGAGTATTTTTTCCATGTAATTGGATGTGTTGAAACTTGTGGCATAAATGATTATTATCATTATGTTTAGGTGGGACTGATTAGGACATACCGTCAGTTCCCATTTTGTCCATTATAACCAGCTTGATGCACTCCCAAGGTACCGCTTCTGCAGCATTCTGTGAGGGAAGTTCCAGCAGGTGGTACTGAGGTCTAATCAGTCCTCCCTGGGCTTTGTGCCTTGGGACCTTCTTTGGAGAGATTAGATTGACCCTCCCCTAGAGCTAGATAGTAGCCAATCACTTCTGCAGGTCTCGTCTCAGGTGCCTCCCAAGAAATCCAATTGCAGAGTATGAGGGAGGGGGCAATCCTTCAATCATTGCTGCCCAGGAGTACAGCCTTCCTGGAATTAGTCCCTGAGTGTCTTCACCCCTGCCCCCTCAGACTCTTGCCTACTTCTGCTGGTCCCAGGAGGCACTAGACACAAAGGCTCCGCTCTGCCCTTCTAACTCTGATTCCCCTTGAGTACAGTCTACTCCTTACCCATTTCTCTCACAGTCAGCCAAACTCAGTCTAGGTCCCCCAATAGGTGCCTGCCAAGATATGGTGGCTGTGTGTGTTCTGTTTTGTTGTTTTATTTTTCTCATCTCCTGGGTCCCACAGACACGGGAGGGTGGGACACTAGCTCCAACCTGGCCCCTACCTCAGCTCTCCATGGCCAGCTGAGATGCAGAGCATGCGTTTTAAGTGCCAGTGCATAGTGCAGCCTCAGGGTCAGATAAGTCTAGGCAGGGTTTTTGATCTCAGTTTCTCCACACCAAGCCACTCCAAGGTGCAGCTTGGAATGCAACTTCCTCTACCCTTTGCCTGTGACAAATCCCCTCCAGCAGCCCCCTGCGGTGAGCTTTCTTCTTAGTCCATTGTCCCTAAGTTTCTGAGTCCCTAAGCTGGTTGGAGTGCCAAATATTAAATTTCAGTGACCTTGCAGAGAATCTATATACCCACTGCTTTGGTCTCACACCATGGTGCAGCTTAGAATGCCACTTCCTCTACTCTGCTGTCTTCTTCTAAACATCCCAAATGTCTTTGGACCCCCAAAATAAATAAATAAGCAAATTAAAAGGACAGGAGACATATGATTTTTAAATACAATAAAGACTAAAAATTAATATAAAAGTTACCTTTAAAAAATGAAAAAGTATTGCCATAATTTGAATCTGGAATTACTCCCCAAAATGTGTTAGAATTGTTCTCCAATGTGGCAATACTGGGAGTTGGTAAAACGCTTAAGAGTGGGGCCTATGAGAGGTCTTCAGATGATTAGGGGTATAACCCTGAAGGGGATTTGGGACCTTGGCCCCCTTTTCTCTCCCTACCTCCCTTCCTGCCTTCTACCCTGGTCCACAAGCTAAACAGTTTTGCCATTTTGCTCGCATGCACTCCTGCCATGAAATACCCCCTCACCACAAGCCCAAAAGCAATGGAGCCAATTAATCATGAACTGAAACCTCCAAAACCATGAGCTTAAATAAAACAACCTCTTTCTCTTTATAAGTTAATTATGTCAAAGACAGACAGTTTCATTCAAAAAATGGGCAGCCCAAGAAAGTAGTAAGAGAACAACTTTTTATGATCATGGCTAAATGAAGTTTTAAACAAAACCCCCACAATTCTTCAACTCTAGCTGACTCCCCCTTGTATTCTCCTGGTTGCAACTTGGTCCCTCACATGTCTCCCAATAGGGTAGGTTTATGGCTAAGTGGCTGTTCTGCAGCTTCAGATTCCTTAGATATTTATGCTATTGTTTTGTGAAATCACTCTTTGCTCCAAGGGAGCCATGCATTTGTTATGGGGACCCAGAACACTCCACGATTGGCAAGTGATGGCAGATCCCATCTGCTGCTGACATTGCCAAACTGTAATTGTCATCATCGCATCACTTCAGCTCCTCTTGACTAAATGCATTTCTAATTCCCCTCTTTGTCCCTTCTCCTATCTCCCCTGCTCCCAAAAGGATTAATTTCCTCCAACAACAATCTTGGAATTATCGTCTACTGTTCCCTCATGACCTGCACAGCAATGCACATTGATTATTTATGAATTGAAACACCTCCAAACACTGAATGGAACACTCAGTGTAATCCAGGTTTCACATCTGTACGGGGGGCGTAGGAAATCCTATCCCCTTCTGCTTCTTTGGGTGGTATGAGTGCAGCAGCCAGACCTAGCACTCCGCCAAGAGACACACTCACCTTGCTGATCATTTCATAGTTTACTGTCAAGGCATGAAAATCCCATCAAGAGCTTTTCAGAAAGTCTAAACATCCACCTAGGATTTTTGAATGAGGAAGGGTATTTGTTAAATGACCTTGCCTATCTTGAAGGTGATTGACAGTCTATAAAACTGAGTTGTCTTCACAATCTGAATCACAATCTGATTCATAATCCACCCCGTGTCTTTTGGTAGAGTCAGATAAAGTCGTCAGCTCATAGTAATCCATAAGTGGCTGCCTCAAATACTTTGTAGAATGCCGTATAAAGCACTTTTCTTCCAAAAAGTCTCAAGGAACTGCTCAGCACGGTCTGAAACATATCCTGACATTAGTATTCAAGTCAAATGTCACCTCTTCACTTGCAGGAAGACATAAAATATATTGATGGAGATTTTAAGCTCATTTCTCAGCCATGATTCACTTTATTAACGATGGAAAATCGATCATACCAGAAACTATAAATAGAAAATTCCCTTTCATGCTAGCCTTAGACCATCTCTAAGTGTAGATTTAAAATAAATAAATAAACTGAGACAACAAGCAAGGACGTTTTGGCCAGTCCCAGTTTTTAAAAATGACCAATGAAGCAAGAAAGACAATTGCAAAAGATTTGAGATTCCGCTGCTATTTGGAATTCTTAAAGATATATCCACTTTTCAGAAGTTAAATAGTTTTATCATCCATTCTGAGACCGTTTTCCATCAACACTTTATTTATTAACTTGGTGGCATACAAAGAAAATAATTAGAACATACCCCAAGATGTTAAAAATAACAGAAATTAGGTTGCAGTTACACTAGCAAAATACTCAAAACAATTAGAGGGAAAGAGCTTCAAGACAATCCTACTGAGAGTAACACAAACATTGTATAATTGTATGATGAGAGAATTCACAAACACCTAAGACGCAATCCAAACAGACCGGATGCAATGTCACAGTAATGACTTGAAAGTCATTGTATGTTCATAAACAGAAACAGCTCATCTGGTTGTCACTGATCTGCAGGAAGATTCTAGCAAAGTCACAATGGAGAGTTTGCAACCTAGAAATGGAAGAAATGAGAATTCCGCAATGCTTATGCAGCAATCTCCCAAGAGAAAAACACTAAATCCAGGGAAACAAACTACCCCCAGAGAAACCAAGACCATAGGTCTTGAGAGAGGCAGTTTTGGACTCTGCCTGGGTTTGAATCCAACCCCGTAACTCCCCAGCCCTGTAACCTTGGGAGAGTCACTTACACTCTGATTCTTCCATTTTCTCATCAACTTAGTGGAGAGGACATTTTGTAGGGAGCTGCTTCGTGGGATTACCGGCAGGATTTCTGAATGAATGAAAGTAAAGCTTTGCCAGGCAAAGTGGTGCACACCGGTAATCCCAGCTACTTGGGAGGCTGAGGTGGACGATCAAAAGTGGGAGGCCAGCCTGGGCAATTTATGGAGATCCTGTCTCAAAAACTAAAAAATGACTGGAGATGTAGCTCAAAGGTAGAGCACCCCTGGGTTTAATCCCCAGTTCCAATTAAAAAAAAAGGAGAAGAAAAGTATTTATAAGGTGCCTGTCGTAATGATTAGTTAACACTGTCATATATTATTATAACTCCACCATGGATCGAGGATGATTTGAAATCTCTAAGGTTGCCTACCTCCCTTTGCTGTTGTTCCATGTGTACCAAACAACCTCTCAATTATTAATTTGGTCTCACAGGTATCATGATGCTACAAAAAAAGGTACCTTGAATGATGTTATGAATATTTCTCCTCATCTTCCTTGACTCCATTGTGAATTGATAAATTGGCAGTCTGCTTCCCATATTTTAGTCTTGTATAGAAGTGATTCACATAAGGCCAGCCTCTCTCATGCTGCTTATCTTCAGGAGTCTGACAAAGCCAGGTCTTGGAATCTACAAAATTCATCAACATAATGTCTCCTGGTGAGAACTTCACACCTTCGCATCTTCTCCTGAGGGTACCCAGACTGACAAATTTCCCTTTTCCTATCCACAATGTCAACTAGAGTATCCATGCACTGGAATAAATAAACATTGTTTACCTGTTATTTTGAGTTTTGTTAATTATAATTTAAGGCTGAGGAGTTTGATTCTTAAGATTCAACTTAATTTAAATACAAATGGATGATTTACATCTTTTGTATCAAACAAATTATAACTGATTTATCATCTTAAAAACAGACACTTCAAGAGCTGATTTAATCAATTAATGTGACTTTTTAATAAGATTAATCCTGACCAAGCAAATTGAAATAAAGTAAAGAAGGGCAGATGGAGTTGTAGCCTCTTTTTTAAAAAAAAAAATGTATTTTCTTAAGGCTGAGGTTGTGGCTCAGTGGTAGAGCACTTGCCTGGCATGGGTTTAGTTCTCAGCCCTGCATAGAAATAAATAAAATTAAGGTTCAATGACAACCAAAAAAAAAATTTTTTTAATCTGTTTTCTTAAGAAGTGAATCCTCAACAATTCCTTCAGTTTTTCTATACTTAAATACTTTCACAATGGTATTCCTTTGGGAATCCAGCAAATACAAGTAAAATGATGTTTATCAAAAGAATAAATCTTTCTAAAGTGTGCTACACATTTTAGGCAAAGAAAAAATAAAGTCTGCTGAACATAATTTAATGCTTCTTGATGGATCAAGAATTGTTATTGGGAACATTAATTATTGTGCTATATTGCTCACTCTGGGATAGTGATATATGGACTTGATTATTCTCCCTCTGAATTTCTCCCAACAGTTGAGCTGTTTTATTTATTTATTTTCTTTCTCTTTCAACCTCATGCCTGATATTTCCTGTCTTCTGTTTATCTTCAGTCCTTTTTAGAATCCTTTTTAGTTTTTATATAGGGAAAAGAACATAGACTGGAGTCAAAACATAAATCCTTCTTTTCTCCAACTTACTTCTGAATCAAACTGAGATTTTTAAAAAAACATGGATAAACGAATAATCAAATATCACTTTTAATATGAACATCATCGATATCTTGAAACTGAACCAAGAATCTGGCAGACTTACCCTCCATCACCAGGCTGTGTCCCAGGTCATGATGTTATAAAAGATATGTTCTAAAGGGGCAGGCCAGATGGCTGCTTCCTGTAGGAGTTAGTTGAAATAAAGAAAGAAAGAAAGAGAGAGAGAGAGAGAGAG